CATGGTGGTAGTGCTGGTTTGGCAGTTGGACTTGATGATCTTAAAAGGTCTTTTCCAACCTTAATGATCCTGTGATATTTCAGTGCACTTCAGGCTGTTTTTCCTTTAGAAGCTCAGACCCTGTGGTTGTTCCTGAAAAAAATGAACCCTTGAGTGATATTAGTGAATACTCACAATTACCTGTGGTGACTCGGCTGTCTCACTGCAGCAGCTATTATTGTTTAAAAACAATAACAATAAAACAATAAAAAATTTAAAAATAATAATTGTGAAATGAAGGGATCATTATGACCCCTGACACTCTCTTGGACTGTTTCAAACTCAGGACACTCTGGCCTATGCCACAGCCCTGCTGAATGAGAAGGATCAGTCTGGAAGCAGCAATGGGTCAGAAAGCAGCCCTGCCAATGAGAACGGAGAGAGGCACCTGCAGCAGGTAAAATAAGGGCAGATTTACCCTCTGCTGTGGGCTCTGTGGGGCAGCTGGTCCCTGGGGCTTGGGTCAGAACCATCCACGCAATAACTGTGCATCTTACAAAAGTGACCGTGTCCTTCTCTCCCCATTCCTTGTGTGTTTGAAAGGGCTCAGAGTCTCCTATGATGATTGGGGAGCCTAAAAGTGACCTTGATGATGTTGACCCTTAGAGGAAATCCCTGTCAACACAGGAACCAACTCAAACACTCAATGCCTGGTACCTGCTGGAACTGGAGTCGTGTTGCTTATGCCATGGGAAGTCTGGGGGAGAAGTGGCTTTACAGGACCAGAGGAGATGCTGGAAGAGGTTGTTTCCCTGAAAGATAAAAGCATTTTTTTAGCCACAAAGGCTTCAGATCAACAAATGGTCTAGAAAACTGCATCTTCACCTGCAGTAGCTTGTGACAGTCCAAAACACCGAAACCAAGTTTGTCAAGAAGATTTTATCAAATACACAAACGCTAGTGGTTGAATTTTTATGTGAACATTAAATGAGTGAATGTAAAACTGTTGCTTTTCTGTGATGCTGCAAAAAAAAAAAAAAATTCTTTTGGTTTTTATACAGGAAAAAAAAAAAGAAACAGACTGCCCTTATGTATGGAGGGCAAATTTTTAATCTTTCTGATAATATTGAATAGGAATATTCAAATTTCTGTAAAGATGTGTGATGAGTTACATTTCATTGTAAAATATTAGTTGAAGAATGGGTTTACATAAGGACTTCTGTATTTAATATGTCTCCCTGCTAATTTGTAAAGCTCCTGATGAGAAAGATCAGCAGGATTGCTCTGTAAGAAGAGTGATTCCTTACAGAATGATTTGGTTAAGGAGCTCTGGAATGAGTCATCTTTCCCAGTACCCTTCCAAAAACCCTTCAGACAACTGGGAAGGGCAGTACAAGAAAAGCTTTTGTTCTCTGGGTATGCAAGCATTTATTATTCAAGGATGTTGATGAATTAAAAAAAAAAAAAAAAGTTAATGAGTAGTTTAAAAGAAAAAAGCACTTTAAGAAGGAATTCTGTTGCAGTTTTACTCATTGAATTTTTTTAACCTTTGGAGACATATTGAATAAAATGTAGTCTCAGTCATGGATCTGCAATCACTTGCTTATGCTTTGAAATTACTGAGAAAGTTGGTATTGGTTGTATATGATGAATAATTCCTTGAGTGAGCTGGGAACACTGTTGTGCAGATTTTATAGCAATTTTAACACGGGGAAAGAAAGAATTGGCTTTGTTTGTATTTTCACTTGACCAGGCAACATTTAAAATATCACAGCTCTTTTAATTTGCTCACAAATAACTGGAAACCAGTTGGGATGATTTGAGCACAGTTTTATTTTCTATGTCAAGTGCAGTTCAGTGATTTCTGGCTCTGGATTCAAGCTTCTTTTGTGCCAACTAACTTCATCTTTTGTACATTTTGTGTTCGTCACATTTTCTGCACTGCTTTTTGCCTTTATTTATGGATTCTGCCTTACTTTAAAAAAATGATATAAACAAACATGCACAGAAACGGGGGACATCTTAAGGAGTGCCTGGGTACCTCCAGAATAGACAAATTTGCCAAGTTAAAGGCACAACCAGCCAAAAAGTGCCTTTTTTTGTTTCTTTTCACACGCTGCTGCCAAAACACGGAGCAGCAGACAGCTTTTCACTGTTGTGCACTAATATTGGAAGTAACCAGTCATTTCACTGTTGGAAGTAACCACGGGATGTGATGTCAGCTGAACGGCTTCATAACTTATTGTGGGGTAGGAGAGCCGGCATCACGGAGTGCAGGGGCAGGGGGGCACCCTAGTGAACCTCTCCCTTTCCTTTTCCAGACAACATCTTCAGAGACACGCGGCAGAGTTAGCATTTTATAAATGTTTCTGATGATGTGCCGGGACATTTGAAATGTGACGCGTTTTAAATTAATTTCCAACCAATCATTTCTTACGGACACCCCCTTTCCTTCCTTCCCCCACCCCCCAAATGCTTTGGGAATGGCTCCTGAATCTTCCCAAGGAGTCAGTACACAGCGGTGATGTGGTGGGAGAAGCTGGTCATGTTCCTATGGGTTGGCACCACTTGTCACTTCAGGTTCCTGTTATTTCCTATGGAAACAACATCCTCGATAGCCGCAGGCCCAGGGAAGGATTGGTGGGAATTGCATCAGGATGGCTCATCACCACTGTGTATACTTGAAACCAATACAAACTTTTTCACCGTTCTGCTCACGCTTGTACAAAGTCAGTGGTTATAATTTGCAATAAGATGATACTTGGTCACTTATTTTTGTTTCCAGCTGCTGTCATTTGAACCTGCTGAAGATTATTTTTTGGAAAATAGAGTTCAACAAAAAAAAAAACAACAAAAAAAAGACAACTAGTTTTTGTGTAAATTGTGATGCATTTATATGTTGTAATTTTTACTGCCAATCTTTTTGGATGAAAATGTTTTTATACAGCTTACAAAATGTTCAGTGAGGAGCAGCCACAGCCTGCCTGTGAGCACTCGGGGAGATATTGTCCAATTATTGAGTAGACATTTGGCACTGGAAAAATAGGCAGTCTTGATGAACAGTCTTGGGATTCCTGGTCAATGGAATAAAGTTATTCCTTTCACAGAAAACTAGTGTAATCTTTAGACTGTGCACACGCTGCTACGCTCTTGTCTTGTTGATCCTCTTATCCTGAACCTCCTTGGGCCAGCCCTGCAGATGCTGAGCTCCCCAGGGGTGCCCTGATTGCTATTCTGGCTCCTGCCCAGAGTCAGTGGAAGCAGCTGAGTGGCCCTGGAGCTGCTGTTTGTCCTCATGCCATGGCATGTGCTGGGGCACTGTCACACCTGTAGCTCTGTGCAGCCTCTCCTGGCCTCAGCAGAGTGATTTACCCTGGCCACGCTCACAGTGGCGGATTAGAGCGGATTTTGTGTGTCAGATCCCAGATTTGTGGGCGAGCTGCGCGTGAATTCGTCCTGCCTCCCGCGGGGACAAGGGGCAGAGAGGTGCACACGGGGCTGCTGTTCCATTACTCACTTATTTGGGAACCAGGAGCTACAGCCAGAGCTGCCATCCCCTCTCTGCCTTTGTCACCTGCTCTAAGGACAAGGACTTTGACTTTTCCAGCCTGATCCAGCCTCTGCTCTCCACTGGTGGTCCTGGGAGCACGGACTGGGCATTGCAAATTGCTGCCAGCACTGGTATGAGCATCCTTGGGATCAGCCCTGCTCTCCTGAATGTGAGAAGCTTTTCTGCCTACCCACGTACAAGGCACAAAGTAAGGGCTAATCTTTTAATATTGTTTCCTTCCACCAGGATTATGAAGGCTTGAATTGAGCTGGGGAAGCTCTGTCTGGCTTATCAGGCGTGGAACATGCTCACACCTTGTGCTGGATCCTCCCCTTTCCCAGGGAAGGCAGCAGAGCTGAAATCCTGATGTGTGTTTTCAGAGGTGACGGCCCAAGGAGTCTGCTGAAAAATCACCCTCAGTGTCAGAGCTGTCCAGGAGCTCTCAGGCTGACATCCTTTTTTCTTTTCTGCCTCTTTGTGCAAAATTCAGGTTCCAGCTGATCAAATTATGGGCTGTAATTATGTCCATGTTATATAATTACATGTTTAGATTAGGGTTGGGCTTTTGCCAGCTTTATTTAACAAGTTGGAATTAGTTTCAACCTTTCAAAGTGATGTTTTGTGCTGGGTTTGTCTTCTCTTGCCAATTAAAGCCAGAGTAACAGAACTGCAGGGGGCTTTTGTATTAGGAAAAACACTCAACCCAGCCAAGTCTGACAGGTTAACCTGGAGCTTATGGTATCAAACTGCATCTTTTTTCATCTATCCTCAGGTAACACCACAAAAATTATATATCACAGTACCAGGAGGCTGCTAAACACTGAGAGAAAAATGAGACCCAGCTTTGGTGGCTTCTGGTGCATCTCAGTGCTTCTCAGCCTTTCCCTGCTGTTGGCATCTCTCTGAGCCAAGCTTCGTCTCCTTCCTGGGGCTCCAGCCCTTCCCAAGTGAAGGAACAATGCAAGTTCAAGGGCACATTCCCAAAGCTGGGTGATGTTTGTTTCCGTAACTGGAAGCTCTTGCCCTGCACCTCTGTTGTTAAAACAAACTTTTGGTCTTGTGTTTGTGTGGATAACACAGTCCACAGAGCACAACCCAGCTGTGGGCAAGGGCCCTGTGCTGGCTGTGCCAGCTTCCAATGATGCCAGCTGTCATCCAGGAGCACCTCAGATCCCAAATCCCACTGGGGGCCTGGGGCTGCTCTTGGGGTGAGCAGAATCCCTGCTGGATCCCCCTTCCCTCTTCCAGACCAGTTCCCCAGGGGGATGTCTATGAAGCCAGAGCATGGACCACAAGAGCACAGGTCTGCAAGTTTTATTTTAAAAAGACATTTATAAAATGTTCATTTATAAAACTCCAAATAAATATTTAAGGTACAAATGTAAAAACTAAGGTGCTGTGAAAGCTTTTCCTTCATCCTATTTTTTTTTTTTAAGGAATTGCAGCCTCCTACAGTTCTATGTGTCTTGGGAAGACCTGAAACTGTTGACACATAACACCAGCAGATCATTAACTTTGACTTAACAAAAAAAGCACTAATGAAGCAGTAGCTGACTATAGCAATGCAGATAAAAAATCTAATTAACCAAGCAGGCCGTTTAAACTACAGCCCTTGCACTTGACTCAGAAGTAAAGAAGTCTCCTAGGAATATGATTAGGCAATTATAAAACTGCCCAAAAATGGCTAAACTAAGATTTTCTAGGTGCTAAGCAGCATTAGCTGACAACTAATGAGCAGCTAACCAGGAAAGGAAGGAGTGAGCCTAACAATCCTTTTTTCTTTAAAAAGGTAGTGGATTTTGTGTTGGGTGACAACACCATGGCTTGTTCTGTCAGGGTGTTTATAGGAAAACTCGGTGCAGAGCAGGGAGAGGGTTCTGGGATGGCTCTGGTGCTGGGACAGGGCTCCAGCTGCATGGGGGATGCTTGGAGAGCTCTTGCAGGGCCGCTCTGGATGCTGGTCCTGGATCCTGACCCCACTGTGTGTGAGGCAGAGGGACGTTCATCCCCCACCAGCACGGCAGCCCAAGCGTGGAGGTCCTCAGCTGCATGTCAGAGCATGGATTGTTCTGGAAGCCCTGGAAAGGGACAGGGTCACACCATTCCAGCCAAGCCTCCATCCCCGCTGTGCCACAGGAGCCTCCAGCTCAGCCTGTCCCTACTGCCGGCTCCGGCAGCAAATGGCGATGGCCACAGCCGAGCTGCTGCCAGGGACAGAGGGTGCCAGGCAGGAATTGTCCACGGCATAGGCTCCCATGGAGCTCTGGGGAATGGCGTTACAGCCCGTCAGCGTCCAGCCATCGTCACAGGACACCGTCACCTAACAGGGAGGAGAGCTCATCATCCATGGGTCAGCACAGGGCCGGGGGCCTGCCCGTCCCTGATGTCCCCACACTTCAGGGTGATGTGACTGCTGTCACCCAGCTGGGTGGGGTGTCCCATTGCAGGGGGGGACAGCAGTGAGGGCAGGCAGAGACAAAGACAACAGCACGGCACAGGGAGCAGGGCCCATCCCTACCTTGTCCTCGTTTTCCGGGGCCATGCGCTCCTTCAGCCGGCACTCGAGGCTGGCAGTGGGGCAGCACAAGGCGTGTGCCACCGCCTCTGCCCTGCTGGCACAGCGGCTGGGCCCCCTCCCCAGCCCCACCACGGGCCTGCCAGCGGCCCCCAGCCCCACGGATGGCGAGTGGAAACTGCAGCCTGCCCGGGGGAGAGGGGATATTGGCACAGGGCAGCCACGGCAGCATCCCAGTGCACACAGGGGTGCCAAGGATGTCCTGAGAGAGCCCTGAACCTTCTCCCCTCCGTGCACACAACACACGAACCCCGTCCCTGCCACCCCAGCAAACACACCCACCATTTTACCCCCAAATCCGAGTTTTTCTGGAAGAGACACCCACGTCCACCAGGCTCGAAGGTGTGTAACCCGGCGTGTTGGGTGTTACCTGTCAGCACGTGGTGTCCTGGGGAGCACTCGGCCTCCCGGGAGCTGGCGCTGATCTGGCATTCAGCCCTGGGCCACGTACAGCACCTGGCGATGGCATAAACCCCCCGGCCTCGGGAAGCGCCGTGGGCCACGCACCGCTTCTGCCCGTCCTTGTCCTGCGGATGGGGCGGCACGGGATGGGGACACCCCTCCGAGGCCAGCGGGCCCTCCCGGGGCAGCACCTCCACGTTCTGCTCACCTCCATGTGCTCCCCGAGCCGGCTGCCGCTGCGGGAGAAGCTGGAGCAGCTGAGCATCTCCTCGGCGCTGGAGCAGCGAGCCACGGCCGTGGCGTGCCGGGCCGGCCCCGAGCGGGCCGACCACACCGAGCGGCAGAGCAGCTGCTCCTCTGCAACGGGGCCGGGGCGACAGCGGCGGGGACACGGGCGGGGACACCCAGTGACACCCAAGGACACCCAGTGACACCCCCATTGTTACCCACATTGTCACCCACAGTGACGCCCGCAGTGACACCCGCATTGACACCCACAGGGACACCCAGTGATACCCAGTGATACCCACATTGTTACCCACATTGTCACCCACAGTGACACCCGCAGTGACACCCGCAGTGACACCCACAGTGACACCCAGTGATACCCAGTGACACCCACATTGTCCCCGCAGTGACACCCGCAGTGACACCCACATTGTCACCCACACTGTCACCCACATCGTCACCCGCAGTGACACCCACATTGTCACCCGCAGTGACACCCAGCGCTCACGGCACCGACCAGGCCCCATCCCGGCCCATCCACGCAGGCTCAGCCGTGCCCGGCACAGCTCAGGGGACATTCCCTGCGGCCACACCGAGCGCCCAGCCCGGCCCTGCAGCGAGCTCCTCACCTGTCCCCAGCCGGGTGGGCAGGGCAGCCACGCTGTTGGGTGTCTGGAGGCGCTGCTCCTCCGGGACCCGCTCCGTGCCCATCGCGCCCTTGGCGGAGAAGCGCAGGAGGCGCTGCCGGAGCTCGGCCAGGCTCAGCCGGGGCTCGGCGCTCAGCAGCACGGCAGCGATGCCTGCAGAGCCCGGGGGGCCGCAGTGAGAACCAGAGGGGACACGGCACACCTACACAGCGCTCCCGTGGGCAGCTCAACTCCAGGGACACGGGAGGAGCCATCTCTGCTGCCCATCGCTCACACGCGGGGTGCGGGAGCGCTCTGCGGGCTGCAGCGCCCCAACGACACAAACCAAACCCGCGCGTCCTGGAACGCAAAAACGCCCCCGGCTCAGGCATTCCTGAAGCCCTGTGCCAGTAGCAGCAAGAGGAGGGCCAGCCCTCCCTGCCCCTCAAAGCGCAGCTCGCCTGCCACGTGTGCGGCCGCCTGCGAAGTTCCGCTCCGCGCTGTGAAACACGTGCTGCAGTCGCTGGAGGCGCCGATGATGTCGTCCCCCGGGGCGAACAGGTCCACGCAGCGGCCAAAGTTGGTGCCCAGGGTGCCGATGGAGGCGGGCTGGTCCTCGCTGTCGGTGGCACCGACCGTGATGACCTGACGGCGACAGGGGAGCGCTGGAGGAATGGCACGCTCAGCCCCAGCCCACGCCGCCGACCCGGAGCTGGAGGGGATGAGGTGGCACCTCAGGGGTCCCCCACAGCCCGTACCTCCGGCTCGGATGCAGGCGAGTAGAGGCAGGCATCGTCCTTGTAGTTGCCGGCGGCCGCCACCATCAGCGCTCCGGCCCGTGCGAGCCGCCGGCAGCCCGCGTTCAGTGCGGGGCTGTGGCCGCCGGCCAGCGGCAGCAGCACCAGCGGCGCGTACGGCTCAGCCTCCAGAGCCGTCCTGACGAACTCCAGGGCTGGGAGGGACAAATCACTATGGCAGGGAGCTCCGCGAGGGATCCTGTTCCTCTCCGGGGCAGGGGGTCACTCACCCATGAGGGTCCCGCTGACGGTGCCCTTCCCCTGGCAGTTCAGCACCCGGAGGCTGCGGATGTTGGCTGCCGTGGCCACGCCGGCGTCGCGCCCGCTCAGCACCCCGGCCACGTGTGTCCCGTGGCTGTCACACTTGCTGGCCTGGCACAGGCACCGCAGTTTCATGCCTCAGCCCATGGCATCAAAGCAAGTTTGCAATCCCACAACATCGTCCCCACCCCTTCCCACCCTGATTCCCTCTTACCTGACACACACCCGTGCTACCCTAGAATAGTTTCCTAGAAAGAAACCCTGCCCCACTCAGCCCTATCTCCAAATAGACCACCTTGAGGGTCCCAATATCCCTCAGCACCACAGCTCCTGTTTCCCATCCTGCCCAGCATCTTGCTCCAGCCAAGTGTCTCCCTTGTCCTGGAAAGCCTCACAAGCCTGGCCAGGATTTGGCGGATGCAGGGGGGTGCTCTGGCCAGGACGCAGCATGTGGCACCTCAGGACTCGCCTGCCTGTGGAAGTGGGTGCCATCCTCATCGGGGATGCTCTCGAAGCCAGTCACAGTCACCCTGCCCTCGATCTCCCTGTGGGTGCTCTGCACGCTGGTGTCCAGCAGGTAAATCTCGACCAGGTCACCTTTATCTGCCAGGGATGCAGCAGGGGAGAAAGGCAACCACCATCACGGTCAGCTCGGACCGCCTGGGTTGCTCCCAAACTGCAGCTCCAGACCCGCAGCACCATGGGGCAGAAGAATATTCCCATCCCTCACGTTAAGGAGAGGGGACCTGACTCTTCCTCAGAGTCGCCCCCCTCGCACACTCCAGCGCTTACTGGGAGGGCTGTAGGAGCCTGAGCTGGGCTGCGGCGGTACGATCCTGCCCAGGTTCCAGGGAATGCTCTGGCCGAAGACGTAGGCATCCTCCTCGATGTACTTCACTTGCGGCAGCTTCAGTGCCTGCGGGGAGGACACAAAGCTCCCGTTTCCCCCCAAGGCCGGGGCTGCCGCTCCCAGCAGCGCCCACCGCAGCTGCCGTCCCCTGCCACGACCCTGTCCTCTCCACGTACCGTGTCCAAGACGTCGCTGCTCATCCTCACCAGGAAGGCTGGCAGGAGGTGGAAAACGTGCAGCAGCTCGGCCCGGTGTCCCCGCCGAGCCGCCCGGGCCTGCAGCCCCCGGGCCGTGTCCCGCAGCTCGGCCTCGCTGCCCGCCCGCAGCATCACCACGTAGCGCCCGGGCAGCCGCCACGACGCCTGCGGGGACACGAGCACCGGGCTGGCTCCGGGGGACACACACACACCGGAGCGCGCCTGCCCCCCGCCCCACGCTCCTCACCTTGGCGGCGCGATGGAAAGCAGCGGGTCCCGGAGGGGCCACCCCGACGGCGGCTTCCCCCTCCTCGGCCGCCCCCAGGGCCAGAACCAACTCCGCCAGCACCAGCGCCAGCTCCAGCGCCCGCGGGGACATCCCGCACCCGGCCCCCGACGGGCAGCGCCGGGAGACCCCGCGACCCTCGGGGCAGGGGACGGCACCGGCGGGGACCCCCTGCGCGACCGCGGAGGGGCCGGAGAGCACCCGCGGGGCCGAGGGGCAGCAGTGCAGTCGAAGGGCAGGAGCGGGGCCGGGCAGCTGGAGCGGAGCCGCGAGGATCCCGGAGCGCACCCGCGGCTCTGAGGTCCCGGAGCGCACCCGCGGAGATCCCGGCGCGCACCCGAACAGATCCCGGAGCGCACCCGAACAGATCCCGGAGCGCACCCGAGCAGATCCCGGAGCGCACCCGAGCAGATCTCGGAGCGCACCCGCGCAGATCCCGGAGCGCACCCGAGCAGATCCCGGCGCGCACCCGAGCAGATCCCGGAGCGCACCCGGGCAGATCCCGGCGCGCACCCGAGCAGATCCCGGAGCGCACCCGAGCAGATCCCGGCGCGCACCCGCGCAGATCCCGGCGCGCAGCGGCGGCCGCGGCTCTGCCCGTGCGGCCGGGGCTCAGCGCGGCGGGGCGGGGATCACGCCACGGCCGCCGGCCCCGTCGGTGCAGCCGGGCGGGTTAAGCATTAACGGGGCCGAGGGAGGGGGCGCGGCGTGCTGGGGCCGCAGGGAGAGGGCAAATGGGGCCACCGCTCACCCCGAGTCCCGGCGGATCGCTGGGGGCTCTGGCGAGCAAAGCGCAGCAGCTCAAGGACTGTTTTCAGAAAGGGCTGAAAGCTTTAATGTGCCTCCTACTGCCTCACTCCACGAATAAATTCCCGTGAAATCCTCTAATCCTGTTTGGGCATTTTTTACAGAGGCGGCACACATCGCAAATGCCCTTTTTGGGGGATGATATCGGCGCTTTCCCGCGGGTCTCCAAGCCGCTTCCCACCTCTGCCCTCCCGCAGCATCGGGATGCCACACTGCCCCACATTCCCAGTGACCTTCTGCAAACCCCGTCCTCGCTGCCGGCTTCTCAGGGAAATAGGAATATGTTTGTGTTTTGACTGGTTATTTGTAAGCTGCTCAGAGATTATATTTCTATATGGATGCACGTGTTTTATAGAGATGTGTGCATTTCGTGTGGATGTGCATGATTTGTATGAATGTTTTACATGGGTGTACACGTTATGTGTATGGTTTGTATGCACGTATATGTTTTAAATGGATGAACACGTTTTATAATTATGCGTATGGTTTATGGGGACATTAATGCTTTATATAGCTGTTTTATAAGGATGTGGATGGTTTATATGGTTTATATATGTGTGTGTTTAATATGGATGTGAATGGGAAATGTTGATCTTTTTAATAAGACCTCGAGTGGGTGCCTGGGCTCTGGTTCTGGAAATTGCAGGGACACCAGAGCATGCTTGTCACCCACTCTGCTGCAGAGCTGACATGGGAAGGGGTCGGCTTTCAGGACACTGATCATGGGGACAAGTCTCACTCCTGATTTTTGGCTCAGCTTCCTCAGTGCCGCTAAGTCCCACAACGCCCCATTGGGGCCTCAGGAGGCTTCTGAGACAGCTTGAGCGCTGGGGGACCCATCTCAAGGGGGACAGTCTCCCTCTCCCTGCACTCTTCCCCTTCGTTTTAGCCCAGGGGACAATCTGTGTCCCAGGGAAGGATGGAAGCAGCCCAAAGAGGAGGGAGGGGGTGGCGGATGTCCCCGCAGTTCCACGTGCTGAGGAACCCATGAAAGTCTTGGCACGAACATCTGACCCCAGCACCCGGAAAGGGATCAGGCCCAGCTCTCACACTCCAGGAATGGATATCTAAAGAAAGGTTTTGTTTTATTTTGTTTTGTTTTAATTGAGAAATTATTCAGAAATAACCTAAATTTTGCACCTTGTACAAAAGTGCTGTGTTCCGGTCCCGGCTCCCTGCGGAGCTTCCAGCTTGTGTGTATGTGTAAAGGGGGAGCTCCTGTTGAGGGGGGAGGAATGGGAGAGCAGAGGAGTCATCAGAGAAGACCTCAACAAGGGGGAAGGGTCCCTGGTTTAAGGTTCTTAAATCCCTGCTGCCGTCCCTGCGTGGGGAGAGATGGGGCTCCGGGCGGTGCGGGCACAGGACTGGGTCGAGCATCCCGTCGGTAAAAGGGGACTTCCCCCCCGGATTTTGGGAGACCTCGGGGTGTGTAGGCATACTTTATATGCTCCACAGCTCAGAGGCGCCTTGGCCTGCACCAGCCGGGAATCGAACCCGGGTCGCAAGAATGGGAATCTTGCATGATACCACTACACCACTGGTGCGCGAGGAGCTCTGCGGCCCGCGGGCCTGAGGGCTCGGCCCGGCCCGGCCCGGCCCCGGCTGCAGCCGCGGGTCCCGCACGGTGACACGCGTGGGTCCCGGCACTGCCAGCCCCTTCCCATCCATCGGCTGCAGCCGCGGGTCCCGCACGGTGACACGCGTGGGTCCCGGCACTGCCAGCCCCTTCCCATCCATCGGCTGCAGCCGCGGGTCCCGCACGGTGACACGCGTGGGTGGTGCCCACCCTGCACAAGCTGAGCCAGACCTGGGGCTGCTGGAGACGCTTAATTCCATGCAGGAATGTAGCGATTCCCACAATGTTTAACCTCGGCCGGCGCAGGAGCCGAGTCCTCCGGCTCCAGGATGCTGTGCCAGGGATGGGGGATGCACATCCAGCTGTGTGAAGGCTTGCGTGGGGGAGAAGGTCCCCGTGTCAGCCCCTTCCCCTGCCTCTGCCTGGAGAAACGCTTTGAAAAACAGATTCCTTTTGCCAAAAATGAAAGTGAGTGCCAAGCCTCGAGGTAGGAACCTCTTCTGTGAGGAAATTCTGACAGTGTTCAGCCTGGAGAAGGCTCCAGAGAGACCTTGTTGCTCCTTCCAGTACAGAGACTACAGGAGAGCAGGGAAGGACGCTGGACTGTGAAGCCCTGTCACAGTTTTCCCAGGGAAACTGTGGACATCATTGGAAATATTCAAGGCCAGGTTGAAGGGCCTTGGAGCAACCTGCTTTAGTGGGAGGTGTCCCTGCCCATGGCAGGGGGCTTAGAGCAATATGACCTTTAAGGTCCTTGCCCAGCCCAAACATTCTGTGGTTCTACAAGTAAAAGCAGTGTGTCTCTAACAGATTCCCACACTGCACAGGAGCAGTGACACAGAGTGACATCCCACCCCAGACACCCTCTGAAAGCCACTGAGACACGGCCCCATCTGAACGGCATTCCCAGAGCCACCTCGCTCCCCCACCCTGGGAAGGACAGGCAGGAGCTGAGAACATGCAATCCATCTGGTAATGCTTCCTCCTGGAGAGCGTCTGGCAATCCTGTGGCAATGTTTAGCCAACACTGGAGCCTTCCCTCCCCACCCTCCTGTTGGCCATAAACAGCCCGAGTGCGTAGGTGCTCCCTGCCCTTCTCCCTGGCTGCTTTGGTGACACCGAGGTGAGCGAAGGGAACAGCAGCAGGAGTGTCAAAGGGTGTGACACCTCAGATACAGCTTTTTCTTGCACACCCTGCACTGTACCAGCACTCCCTGGGTGACAAAGGAACACGGGAACATCCCTCCAGGGCTCTCGTGCTCCCTTCCCCTTGGGTGCTGGAGGACAGCTCTCCCCCACTTTTGCACTTCTGGGGTTGGAACTGCAGGATTTTTAAACTCCCTTCAGTTCTGTGCTTCCATGGAATTTGCTGAAGTGCTCCTCTGCCAGCAGACATGTGCTCCCAAGCCTCCTGGGACCATGCCAGGCACAGGCAGATCCAGCCCAGCTTCCCCAAAACAGAGCAGGAGACTCTCAGCATCCCCATGCTGTTGGATCTGCTGGTGCTTTGATCCAAACCCAGCTGCCCTGGGGAGGCTCAGCCTCACAGATCCCCACAGCAGCCAAAAGTTGTGGCTCCCCTGTGTGCTGGAGACAGGCTGTGGAGAGCCCCCTGTGTTGTCCCTGTTGTGGTGACAAACCAGGCTGAGGCATATCCACGTGGTTTGGAACAATTATTATTGACAGGAAGTTTGGGGGTGGTGGGTGCCAGCATGCAAACCCACCTGCAGCTTTTGACACTGGCCCAGCAGTGTGCAAAGCCACCACCTCAAGTGGCATCACCAGGATTTTGGCTCAGTTTTGTCCCCTTTCCTGTGCCCCCAAGAGTGCTGGAAGCTGGTCCTTGTGCAGGAGAGAGGGGACAGCACGATCTGTCACCTCCATCACCCCTCTCCCAACCTGGAGATATGAAGGCTGCCTGCTGCAGAAGACTCAGGGCCGAAATTTAATTTCAACAGAGCTTGGGTAAGTGGGAAAAAGACTTTGAGGATACCCCTGCCTGGTAAAACCCACTTGTATTGAGCATGTTTTACCTACCCAAACCTGATCCTGTTCCAAACAGCACAGCCAATCCTTCCCCTTCCCAAGCACAGTATTTAGCCCAGATCCTGCCCAACCCAGCTTCTCTGTGCCCACCCAAATGGCTTTGGTGAGGGGGCCTTGTCCCATGTTCTGTTGAATTCTTGGTGTATCCCCTTTGGGTTTGGGGGAAATGACAGCCTCCTGTGTGGCTGGGTGTGCACAAGGGGTGCAGCATGGCACAGGGGCAGGCAGGAGCCTGGGGCCACTGCACTTTTAGGGACAGCCCTTTCCTCCAGGCTGTGACCTGTGTGTCCCCTCCATGAGGTGAGTCTATACCAAGTGGCCATTCTCTCCAGGAAATCAGTTTTCAGGCTCAAAAAGGTTATCACTGGCGTTCAGCAGAGCATCTGGCTCGTCCTGGAGACCATAGAAGAGGTCATCCTCCTCCCCAGGACCTTTCCAGTGGGATCGGGGGTGCTGTCCCCCCTCCGGGGAGCTGCTCGGGGTGCGGCCGCAGCGGGAGGCGGAGGGCAGGGTCCGGCTCTGTGGCGTGGGGCTGCCGGGCACGGAGCCCTCCAGCGATGGTGTGTCCATCTCCTCCAGCAGGGATGCCAGCGGGGCATCGCCCGCGGCTGGCCGGGCGGGGCTGCGGGGACAGGGTTACACCAAACGCGGCTGGGCAAGAGCTGCAGTTCCTCCTGGAGCCCCTGGCTGCTGCTCGAGCAGCATCCCAGCATCAGCAGAACCCTTGCTGGGTGGCTGGAGCGCCCTGGGACGTCCCTGTCCCAGCCCTCGGTGCCTGCCGTTTTGGGGACACCTGCCCACCAGGTTCCTGCTGCCCATGGGGTGAAGTAGTGGCTGTCCTTGCATTTCCTGAATCTACAGCTGGGATGGGAAAGCACTGCACCCCCATCACCTGCAGAGCCCTTTGGGACCTCCCAAACCAATGCTTGGGCATCACATGTGGCATCTGGTTTGAGGGTCACGTGCCAGGCATCTCATTTCTAGCAAAGTCTGACCAGGAATTTGGGGTTATTCTTGTGAGTGGTGCTGTTTATATTGATAAAATGAAATAAAAGCAAAATGCAGAAACGCAAACATCAAAATGCAAATTGCAACCATCTAAATTTCCTCCTGGGAAATAATTCAATTCAGAGACTCCTCGTGGGTTGAGACACCACCTGACCTTCAGTGGAGGCTCAGAGCCGTGAGAACAGCAAAACCCCTCTGCATTGTCCCCCACCCTCAATATTGGGTGTCTGATCCCCCCATGTTCACCCCACACCCCACCAGTGCCACCCCAACCCCGCAGACATCACATACCAGCTGCCTGCTGCTATTTCCAGGCGAGGTGCCAGGTCTTGGAGGGGGTCTCCAGCACCCCCCAGCTCCCGGTGGATCTCAGCTTTGGCCTGCACGGCTGACTGGGAGCAGCTGCGGGGTCTGGGCTGTGCCGTGGGTGGGAGTGGAGCCGAGCTGACCGCCTGCCTCTGGATCTGCTCGTAGGATGGCAGGCTCTTCTCGTAGGTGCTGGTGGCATCTTGGTTGGGGCAGGGGGTAATCAAGCTGCAGGGAAAGGGACAAGGGTGCTGAGCAGCCCTGCACACCTGAGGAAGAGGCTCTAGAGGCCACCAAAGCCCACCCCAGCAGCAGAGGCAGGGGATGCCTGCAGGAACATCACTGGATGCTCTGCATGCCCCGGCATCATGCAGGCTCAGCCCTGGGGGGGCTCAGGCAGCCCTTGTCTCTCCCAGCCTGATCCCTGCTTGGCATTTTGTGCTGCAGGAGGTGCAGCAGTCCCCAGCCTCAGGGCACACACATTACCCTGTTGTGGGACCCACCCAGTGTCCTTCTGTGGCAGCACCATGGGTTTGTAGTCCAGGAACCGCTCGACCCCGAGGTCTGCAGGGATGAACGTAATCTGGGGGGAAAAGAGAGGCAGAGCCCAGGGGCTGTGCTGGGCATCACAGGGTCCCTCAGCCCTCCTAGTGGGAAAAGGGCCAGAGTGTCCCTTCAGCTGGGTTTAGGGTCTTTTCCCACCCTATTTAGATGTTTTCCTCGGAAATGGCTTTTTTGAGGGAAACCAATAAGGAATGAATGAATCCAGCACAGCCCTGTTCTAAGTGCCTTTCCCCCCATGGAGTCACACATGTGCCCAAGCCCAGAGGGAGTCCCAAGGCCCACACAGGAGGTCAGTGGTCAGGGACCACACCATCCTTGAGCCTCGAGCACAGTGGCAAAGCCACATCTCCCTCCAAGCTGGGGCTGAGCTCAGCTTTGAGGGTAGCTGGTTTCTGCTTCACCCCAACCCCAGAGGGCACAGCTGCTTTCAGAGGTCCCAGCTGGTCCTGGGTCCTGAGGTGGCTCCCCCACACTTTGGAGGGCAGCCAGGTTGTTGACAGGCCATCCAGCAGTGTTCAGATCAGTCCTACAGATGCCCTCTCCTTGGACAAGTCCCTTTTCTGCCAGGCCAGTTTCCCAGGGCAGGGACGCGTGGCTGCGCTCCAGCAGTGCCCTCCGCCAAGGAGACTGGCAGGGGAGGGCTGGGCTCAGGGGGCCGGGACCCTCCGGCCTCCATGGCCACGACAGTCCCTTCTGGGAGGTCCTGGGAGCCTGCCAAGCCCCAGACCCCAAGGAAGGGGCTGAATGGGAGAGATGAACACAAGTTTACTTCCTTGGGATTACTCCTTGCTGCCCGAAAACAAAGTCCCAGGCTCAGGGGGTGTGCAGGGGGTGAAGGAGACAGGGCACACCCTGTAGGTATCAGCAGGGCACAAACCTCCCAAATCAATTCCCCCTCAAGATTGCTGCAGCTGGCTTCCCCTGGGGAAACTGAGGCTGCACATCCAGAGCAGCCAAAGCTGAGCTCAAGCTCCCTCCCCTCAAGCCCCACAGCGTGCTCAGCAGCGGGAAGGATCCTACCTTTGGGTAGCACTGGCACATGCTCCATGTGATGCCCACGGCTACGAGCAGGACACCCAGGACGCAGAAGGTGATGTAGTACTGAGGCTTTTCCACGCTCATGATGAACATCCCCACCATCACCAGGAAGAAACCCAAGATGATGAAAGCGTAGCGGAAATTCTTCTCCTCCGCCATGGGCTCCGGGTGGAAGAGGTGGGAGAAGAGATTTCGGGAAGGCCGTTCACCTGCGGCACTGCCTGCCGAGCACAGCGTAAGGCAAGGAGTGGTTTCTCTCCCCAGAGGCTGCCAGGAGCTGAGGATCAGCTGCACGTTGAGCTGATCCTGCCCAGGGCTGAGCCAGCCAGTTTTTAATGGGTTTGTAATGAATGCAAACACTGCCCTGCCGTTCACACTCCAGTGGAGCCACCCTGCACGTGTCCGGGTAACCTTCCCTGCAGGCACACTCAGCCAGACCACAGCCTGGGGAAGGGACACGGAGGGAGAGGGGAGCAGGGCTGAGGGGATGGGGACACGGAGATCAGCTGGTGCTCTTGGGATTTTCCCAGCCCTGGGCACTGGGACTGGACTCAGTCATAAACCAGAGCTAGCACAGCACCAGGTAAGGGGGACACCAGAGCCCAGCATGTTCTCAGGGGCTGTGGGACTGCAACAGGAAAAGAGGGAGTGATCCAGGATCTTTTTGGAGACCAGTGGGTTTGGAACAGACCCTGCCTTGCTCCGGCTGAATGCTAAGGCTGCCTCACTGGGCAGCAAGTGGGCTGTGAAGGAGGAACTAAAGCCAGAAAAGGATGGAGTGAGGTTGGTCCACCCAGCAGAAGTGAAGACAGAGTGTCCCTCTTCCCTGTGTTCACTGAAGTTGGAGCTGGGATGTTAAAAGGTGTCTCCTTCCCACCACACGTCCAACAGCCAGACAGTGTTTGTTTTATTCCCTTGATTTATTCCCTCATTTTATTCCCTTGATACACCAGGTTTATGACAAATAATTATATTATAAACAGTATGTTAGACGTGGCTGCGGCTCCTCAGCCACTCTGCAGCCCTGCAGGGCCACAGGGGACCCAGGGCAGCCCTTTATTTTGGTGGAGTGCAGGACCTGGCAGCAGCCCCTGCCACAGCTGGCCTTTCCTCTGGGCAAGGCTGCACACCCAGCCGTGGAGGACAGGGAGGGAGGGGGCTGTGCCACCCAGCATGGCTTTTCCAGGAGGCTGCCTGAAATGCCAAGTGCACTTGGATGCTCTGACCACAGGCACGACCCACTGAGCATCCCTGACACCAAATGAAGCGAGGCGTGGGGAGTCAGTACTTAGGGAAGCAGGGTGGAAGGCACTCCGTGGAGACAGGGCTGGAAGGGGCATTGCAAAGGCAGAGAAGTGGAAGGTGCAGACAGAGCTGGGCTTTCTCTGGCCAGATTTGCCACGGATTTATTACTGAGTGGGCCTGACAGGAGCTCCCCAGGGTGGGCCAGAGCAGGGAATGCAAAGCCTCTGAAACCAGCAGTGGTTTTATTAAAAATACGAAAGCTTCCAAACATGCCAGTTACACCCGGCGCTCTGAACACATCACCTGCAGGACCCACGATCCCAGCAGCGCCGGATCCACCCCTCGGACAGCCAGGAAAGCCGGGCTGACCCTTGCCACTCCTCGCCCACCCTCTTCTCACCCCCACAAAGAAGAGGCTCAGTTTAAAGCTGAGGGACTGGGCAGCCACCCGCAGAGTCCCGTTCCGGGCTGCCGCAGCTCAGACCCCTCTGACGCTGATGTTCTCATAGCTGGGGGGAGGCGTTGCCTGCGGCTCCTCGGGCGCGTCCAGCCAGGACGGGCTGGGGCGGAACAGGGCGCTGTCCGAGGAGCTGCGCCGGCGGCCGCCCTGCCAGCTCTCGTCCTCCTCCAGGTAGCGGTACAGGGGCGGCGTGAGCTCCTCCTTCCTCCCCGGAGGCTGCACATAGGCCGGGGCACCGTGGGCAGGTCTGCAGGTCAGGGCTTCTTCATAAGTGGGGATGGCACTGGCGTCCCAGTTGCTGCAGGGAAGAGGAAGAAACCCAGCAGCGCACACCGTCAATATCCCAGCACCCAGCTGGAGCATCCCAGTGCCCAGCTGGAGCATCCCAGTGCCCCATCAACTCGAGCAACCCAACATCCCATCAACCCCACTGTCTGGAGCATCCCTGAGCTGCCTAAGGCATGCACCAGGGACAGCACATGGACAGGTTTTGCTGAAGTGCCATGTGTCATGTGTGCAGGGGTGACCATGTCAGCTGCTTCCTGGCAACCATGAGGTTTTGCAAGAGGGTCCCATGGGCAGAAGAGCATCATCATCATCATCATGCCTAACCCTTAATTCACCCCCTGAAGAACAGAGGCTGCTGACAGCTGAGGGAGCAGTTTGGCACAAGAGCTGGACAAGCCCCAGGCACACCAGGTCACCGTGGTCACACCCCACTCCCATGCCAGCCAGAGCCCTCCCTGCACTGGCCAAGCCTGATGCCACTTCCAGCAGAGTTTTCCTGAGCAAACACAGCTTGTGTACAGGAAAAACCTCTGACAACCTCTGCCCTGCACATGGCCCAGCTTGGCACCCTACAGAATGGTGCAGTCCCAAAGCTGGAGATGCTGTGAAAGCAGCTCATCACTGCAGGTGAAACCCAGCCCAGTGTGCTGGGGAGGCAGCAGGCATGGGAGGGCACAGCTGGTCCAAAGGAAAAGCCATGTGCTCCACAGGGATGCCTCCATCCTGAACTTGGCAGATCTCTGTCCCAGGCAGACCGCCCCGGGCTTCTGTGCCAGGGATTTGCCAAACAGCCTCAGCTCGCACAGGAACACTACCTTGGAAATGCGGAAAGCGGGGTTTATCCCAGCACAGGATGCTTTTCTGGGGCTGGAGGAGCTGCTGCAGCACCAGCACTGCCAGGGTGCTGCACCCCATCCAGCAGGGGAGCTGGATGCTCAGGGAAAGGGACAGTCCCCACAGGGACACAGCAAAGTCCCTTCCTGGGATAAGGAACCTCCCCCCAGATACCCAGACCAGCCCACAAGCTCACAGATATCCAGATGGGCACTGAAATCCCTGGAGAACCAGAAACGTGTCTCCCACTCCAACTGTGTTTTTATGGTTTCATGTTCTTAAGAGTTTCTTTTAGTGCTGTTTTTCCCCAGAGCCCGATTTATGCCAGAGCCAAGATCTTTGCTATGACCCCATAAAGCAGCACTGGGAAGGGCTGGCTGGCTCTGCTTCCACAGCAGTCTCCAGAATAAAAAAAACTTTTGATCCAAAAACTTTTAAATGAAGAAGTGGGAGTAAATCTCGGGCTCACACTGGAAGATTCAGGGAACCTGAAAAGCATCAGTGGTGTTCAGGGCAGGGCAAGGAGTCTTTCTATACCCTGAAATGGGCTTCATAAAGGACCTTCTGCCTACATTCCTATCTTGATGCTATTCCAAGGATTATTTTCCTTTTTTTTTCCCCATTCAACTCCCTTATAAAAAATATTTTGCTCCCATTAAAGATGTTACAAGCACCCTCATCCTTACAGAGCACTGCAGACGTGGGAGACCAGGACTGGAGCTCTGAGTGACCCTTCCCCACCCCCAAATCCAAACCTTCTGCCAGAAAACCAATGTATTCTTCTGCTTGGTAGCCCTGCTAAGGAGATGTGTCCCTTGGCACGTAATGGCCCTGCAGGGCAAGCAGAGCTGGATGCAGCCGAGCCAGCCACAGGCACGGCCAGCGTGGGCAGGGAGGGTTGACATTAATGAGCAGGAGCAGGAGGAGGAGAGCACAGAGCAGAGCTGCTGCTCCTGTGAGTTCACCAGCCAGCAAGGTGGCTGCTGGGACAGCCAGACCCATCCTGCCCACCCAGACACCGGCAGGGACCAGGCTCCCACCTGCAGTTCCACTTCTCCGGAGGCTCCGCCGTGAAGTACTGCAGGTCCCTGGGGAAATGGTACTGGTAGCGCCGGGACACCACCCTGGCGTTGGCCTTGACGGACCAGAGGAGGCCGAAGATGAGGAGGATGCCGCCGATGCCGCAGCAGAAGAAGCTGACGGAGCGGAGCAGGGCGCTGGAGGAGGAGGAGCTGGGGACGGCCTCGGCTTCCCGGGGAGGCAGGAGGCGAGCCCCGCCGCCGGAGCCCACCTCCCCATCACTCCACCAGGCAAAGCACAGCGTCCCCGTCACCAGCAGCACGGCCCCCGTGATGGTCAGGCCGTAGCGGAAAGAGGCGGCTGCCATCCTTCAGGAGGAGGTTTTAGGAGGGGAGAAGAGTGAGACAAGCATGAGAGAGCCCAGGTCCTGTAAGACAAGAAAGGTGGCAGGTTTGAGCAGAAGAAGCTCAAGGAAGACCTGCCAGAGGAGAAAATGACTGAGCGAGGAGTCATCCGGGTTTTGCAGCCCCTTTAGCCACCATTATTTTCCATCAGAAGGGGCATTTCCACCATCTCAGATGGGAAGCCTTTGGGAAAAGCAAAGTCAGCCCCAGGTTGGACCTATAAACTTTCCAACAGCCTCGTAAAAACATCTTAATTTTCAAGGAACAACACAAGAGCACAAGGGCAGGATGGACACCCCAGCTGTGGGAGCTCTCCTAGCTCTTCTCTTTGGGGTTTATTCCAGACCTCCTCCCAGGCTTGGAGGAATGCCAGCTGGGTTTCCTGGGTTTTCAAAGCATGGCTTATGGAAGAGGTCGGAGACAGGGACATAAATTTAAGATGTCATCACTTCTGAATTTTTAGTGTGCCTGTTTACTCCTCCAGAACTGATGACATTGGAAAAATCTGCTCAACCTTCATCCACATGAAGTTCGGCACACGAACTTCAGGTCAGCTCCTCCTCAAGTTCCTGTCAAGATCAATCCTTCAGGTGTTATCACCACCTTCACCCTCCCTGTCAGGGTCATTTGGGGTTGGTTTGACAACCAAACAGGTGAGGTAGTGCCACATGTTCCTGCTGGGTGGCCCTTTTCAGCTAAATGTCACATGCAGAGAGTTTCCCTAGTGCTGGAAAACTCGGGGAGGAGGAGGGTGATCTCAGTCCCCATTGCTTTCTCCAGCAAACAGCAGGCATCTGCTCCCTCAGCTTGTGCACCCCCAGCTCCCAACTAACCAGGGAGGCAGAGAGGTCCCACCACGTCCCCTCCAGCCCTGCTCATTGCCCAGCAAGAAGATGCAGGTTCAGCTCGCACTTCTCAATGGACAAAAAGCTCTGGACCATGTGGGAATTAAGCACCAAGACCTCTGAACAGATTCAGTCCTGGGTGACTCTGCTGCAAAAGTTTGTCATGGTGGCAGTGCCAGCAGAGAGCCTGCACATGAGGGATGGCCAGGGCAGAGGAGGAGCTCAAGCAGAGGTGGTGGACAGATGGATGACCCACACTCAGCTGTCACCTCTGCCTTTATTGCTTTGCCTGTGTGTCAGTAACAGGACAATAATGTGGTGGCTTTGGTCTCCATTCCTCCAGGCAGGGCTCATCTCCTACAGAGGGGTCTTAAAATGTACCCTGAGATCTGGAAGGGCAGAGCCAGAGCTAGGCAGGGAGCAGAAGTCCAGCATGGACTCGGTGTCATCAAGGTCGGGTAGAATTATGTTATTTCAAGCTGTTATTTATCAGATGGGCCCACTAAATGGAAAGCCAAATTACCTTGTAGTGAAAGAAACACTATCTGATCTAATCAACATTTAATGAAGGAATCTGATGAGAAGTGAGATTTAGGAAAGCTGCAGGAGTGGAAGCCCCAACAGCTCACTCCAGCTTTTGTCCCAGGGTCACAAGCCATCTGGGCTGGCTGTGACTGGTGGTCATCAGCTGTGGCCACCTGCTGGGAAGGCAGTCACCTTCCTGGGCTGAGAAAAGGCTTCCCTCCATAATGGGGGCTTCTTTGGATGCTCCCTCCTGAGTGGCAGGGGCTTGGCTGAGCTGAGGTAAGGAAGAGATTTTTGGAGATGGTATTAGATACTATCAGGGATCAGAATCCCCAAACCATCACTGAACATGAGCAGGACACAACAGAAGATCTGGACTCAGGTTGCCTTGCAGCAGGAGATGCTCAGGAGAATGAGGACCCCACTGACCTGTGAATGCAGCCCCTTTGGACAGCAATGCATTTTCATGCAGAAATTTCAGCATATTGTTTAAAGAAAAAATATTCACCCAAAAAAAACCCTACAGCAAAGCTCTTGATCCAACTGCATGGAAATGTCAGGTCACTCCAAACTGAAACACTGGACTGAACCTGCCCCAGGAGCTGAAATGTTCACCTCCTGTAACAAACACTCTCCGCATTCTGGGGTCAGACTGGTGAGGTTTGGGAGATGCTCTGAATACCCTGGTGAGATTTAGGAGATGCTGTGATTCCCCCTGCCTGGGAACGGGGAATTTTGCAGCCTCCAGCACTGAGCACATCTGGGAGAGCTGGCAACAAGGGGGAGGTGGAGGGAAGGTGGAGAAGCCTCTGGTGGAGAAGCCTCCGGGAGGTGATGGATTGACAGCTCGAGAGAATAAACTCTTCTCTCTCTTGACAAATCCAGTGTAGCGCAGGGAGCTCCGCTGAAAGCTCCCCCAGCCTCCCCGCACGTGTTCCTGTGCGGGGGCAGCTCCGTGACACTGCCACAGCTCAGTGACACTGCCACCACCAGGTGACACTGCCACAGCTCAGTGACACTGCCACCGCCGGGTGACACTGCCACAGCTGGGTGACACTGCCACCGCTGAGTGACACTGCCACCGCTGGGTGACACTGCCACTGGTGGGTGACACTGCCACCGCTGAGTGACACTGCCACTGCTGAGTGACACTGCCACCGCTGGGTGACACTGCCACTGGTGGGTGACACTGCCACCGCTGAGTGACACTGCCACTGCTGAGTGACACTGCCACCGCTGGGTGACACGTGACACTGCCACCGCACCCTTGCCCCTTGTCTCGGGCTGCCACAGCTCTCCTGAGCCTCTCTGAAAGACCCACGCTGTTTGCTCAGCGCACCAGCCGCTGCAAGAAGAGTCTGAAGGAGCAGGGGCAGGGACAGAGGTGCGAGGCTGGGGCGGGACCCGAGGCTCCCGGAGCCTCTCCCGGCTCCGCTCCCGGGGCACTCAGCATCTGCACAGCAGCCTTCCCTCCCCGTGAGCATCCCTAGCACAAGTTTTCACGGAGCCATAGCAATTGTCGGCTCTCAAACGCTCTTCTCCACTCTCTGAGCCGCCCTGACATTTTGTTCTGCCCTGTCTCCTTCTTTGACCTGCCCCGAAGTAGTTTTCCAGGTAATAGATTTGCACGTTGCATGTACAAACAGATACGAATGTTGATAGTTTACATAGTTCCAGTGAGATGCTGAGAATAGCAGCCCCCATATAAAGTTATGCAGATGGTGATTCATAGGGTCTACTAAGCATTACTCAGAAAAACGCTCTTTTCAAGCAACACGAGAAAAGAAAAGAGTTTTGAACCTCTCCCACCGCCATCAAGCAAAAAATCCACCTCCACACCCGTCCCTCCACGGCACTTACAGATCGCACTTCCATGCGGGGCTGGAGACCTTTAATACGGAAGAAGAACGCCGGGCAGAGATGCACCAAAGCGTGAGCATGTCTTTAGGGAGATCCCTTCCTGCCTTTATCCAAATTCGCTCTTTTGTTGCGATAGTTATCAGCGAGGGTTTGGTCCCCGTTCAGAGCAAAGTACCAGCGATGCCTCGGAAGAGCATCCCACAGCTGCGCTCTGCCCGCGGCAGGCGCGTTCGGCGGAGAGCAGCACACGTGTCCCCTCCGCCGGGCTTCGGGGAGATGCTGAGCCCCACGTCCCCTCTACCGGAGGGCACCCGCGGGGCCCCTGTCCCGCCCGGCACGGCGCTCAGCCGGGGGGTGCCCGTGTCCCCCCGCAGCCCCGGTCCCAGCGCGTACTCACCGCCGCCGGCAGCCCCGCTCCGGGAGGCTCCGGGAGGCTCCGCCGAGCGCGGCCCGCGGGGCGGGCGGGGCCGGGGGCGGGCGGGGGGCGGCGGCGGCTCGGGGCGGGCAGGACCGGAGCTCCCTCCCGGCTCCCCGCAGCCCGCTCCCGTTCCGTCCCGTTCGGGAGTTCGGGATGCAGAGGCCGGGAAGGGTCCCTTGTTCACCCGCCCTGCCCTGGGGACAGCACTGCTGTCCTGTGTGTGGGACACCCAGGCTGCAGCACAGGAGGGTCTCTGTCCCAGCCTTCCTCTGTGATCGCTTCAGCTCTCCTCACTTCTATGTCAAACGCTAATATTGTCCCTTTTCCTCGTTCGTGGAATTAGAACGGTTTGGGTTTGGAAGGACCTTTTAAAGGTCGTGTAGTCCAAAACCCCTGCAAGCAGCAGGGATATCTTCAACTAGATCAGGCTGCTCAAAGCCCCGTCTCACCTGGCCTTAAATGTTTCTGGGAATGGGGCATTCACCATCTCTCCGTGCCAGTGTTTCATCAAGTTCACTGTAAAAAAACTTGTTTTCTTTATGCCTAATCTAAGTCAATCCTTTTTTAGTTTAAAACTGTTACCCTGCAGCACTCAGGACACCTGGATATTAAACAAGCTGAGGGTGCTGTGATCTGAATTTCAGGATGGTCGGTGTGACAGCACCTGGATTCAGGCACAATTCCTCATCACGCAGCTGGAGGGAGATTTGATCAAGAGCTGCCGTGCTATGTGCATCTCACACATCCACACATCCACACATCCACCATGCTGCTCCTGGGCTGCAGCTGAGCATCACTGACGGGCAGAGCCATTTCTGTGGATACCCTGGGCTGCTGTTCTTGCACTTCTCGGAGTTCCTCATCTCACCAGCTCAAAAGCAGCTCGAGCTTTACCTGCACATGCTGCAGGGGCTGGTGCAAAGCCCCTCTGTGGAATTCATGTCTGCTTCATGCATGATTAGAAGCCACTCAGCCCAGCTGAGAGCATGTGGGTGTGCAGTCCCATTTACCCGCAGCCACTGTGGAGTTTTACAAATGGCAAACTGAGGCACACAGAGGGCTGGCTCACACAGGAGTGGCCCTGCAGCAGGTTGGGTCCTTGTCCAAGAGGAACATGGGGCAGAAGTCCCCAGGGCCAGCACCCAGTGATCTGGGGGCACTGTGAATCAGCAGTCACTCTGTTGAAGAACAATAAGACATATTTTTCTGCTCCTTACCTGCTCAGATATTGTATTAACTGAAATTTAATTGTTAAACAGCATCTGAAGCACTTCAAGGTGGTGTTAGTGCACGGCTCCATGCTATTCCCAGCACAGGGCTGCAGAATGAGATGGCT